CTTTAGACGAAGCCATTAGCAGAGAGAGAGAGAGAGAGAGAGAGAGAGAGAGAGAGAGAGAGAGAGAGAGAGAGAGAGAGAGAGAGAGAGGAAATTCAGGGGCTGATTTCCAAAGGTCAGGGGGTGACATTGAAAAACCAATAATCCCTTCCCACTGAGTTCACCCTAACCTTCACCTCCTTTTTTTGGTTAGCCTCCACCCATCACACTGAGGTGCCAGATTTTAATTCACGCTGACCTTCATTTGGTTTCAAATATATCTAGTACATTGTGGCAGGATTAAGTGGTACACACTGGAATGAATTAGTTTTGTCCTTCATTAAGCTAACTTATCATCTCCCAGTAAAGACACCCCATAAACACATAAATAAGGAAAATGATAAACTAAGCATTTGCAGGTGAAATATCATACATTGATATCCAGGGGAGACTTCCTTAGAGAAGGCAAAAGTCCTCAGTGTGTGGCTAGCCTTGGCGTTAGCATCAGAAGCATGAGATAGAGTAAAGAGATGGATGTCACAGAGAAAGTGACTTGGAAAGGGTTTCATCAGTCTCCAAAACTGACCAGGGTCCTCAAGCCCTGCACTCTCATGATGCTCAAACCCAAATACTTCTCAAAAGAGTGATGGCGGAGTTGACTACAGAAAACACTTGATTCATTTATAGGTCCAGTTGACTAATGTCCATTGAGCAGGATTAAATTACATTGACACCACTCTGCAAGTCACTGCTGGAGGATACAAAGAAATAAAACTGAAAACCAAGATGCCTTGAGTCTGATTAAGCAAGATTGATGTGAGAATTAGTCAAGACTCATTGTCAACATGATACATTTGGGAAGGACAAGTCAACTGAAGAATTCCCTCCACCAGATTGGCCTTTCAACATCTTCATAGGGGCATTTTCATTTTCTTTTTTGGTTTTTTGAGACAGGGTTTCTCTGTGGTTTTGGAGGCTGTCGTAAAACTAGCTCTTATAGACCAGGCTGGTCTCAAGCTCACAGAGATCCGTCTGCCTTTGCCTCCTGAGTGTTGGGATTAAAGGCGTGTGTCACCACCACCGGGCAACATTTTCTTGATTGCTAGTTGATGGAGGAAGATGAGATCCGCTCTGCATGGTACCATCCCTGGGCTGTGTAAGAAAGCAGGCTGAGCAAGCCAGGAGAACAAACCAAAAAGCAGTTCCTGTCTTCAGTTCCTGCCTTGGCTCCCTTGCTGATGGACGGTCACCCGTAAGCTAAATAAACCATTTATCACAACAGAAAAGAAACTAGAATGGTTGATTCAGTTGCCTACACAGCCCTCTCCCCCACCTCCTCTCCCTTTTGTAGACTCTAGGAAGGAGAGCAGGAAAGGATAATTGCCTCTGGCCTCTCTCCTTGAGGGAAGGTGTCCTCTCTGCCCTCTGCAGGTTGAGTATCCTCCCTTTGCTCTGGTATTGCAGACTCTGCTCCACACTGGTGTTCCCTGGCATCAATTGAGTTAGGATATATTTTTCTAACTGTGCTAGAGGGCATGAGGTCTTAGCTTTTCCTCTCCTATTGACTACTTATGTAACTGATCAAATTCCTCCTCTAAATGGGAAATGTGATGTCTTTGCTGGCTACTGTGAGGGTTATATGTGGACGCGTTTAGTAACCTGTAAGGCAATGTGTGAAGCATGTCTAAGGTTGACTGGCGATCCAGAGGTCTAGATAGGGACGGCCTTGGGAACCCTGAGAACCCAGGAAGAGGGATGTGTCTGAAATTAGGGTGAAGAGAATGGGGAACTCTGAGAGCGCTGTACTTGCAAAGCTTGCTTCCCATGGTTTGAGTCAAGGTCTGAGATGTTAAACAACTGAGCTCTCTATTTAATCTCTCCATTAAGAGTTTCGATTCTAACTCAGGCTTAAGATATTTGGGGAAGTCTAGGAGGTGGTGGCTCATTCCTTTAATCCCAGCACTTGGGAGGCAGAGGTAGGTGGATCTCACTGAGTTTGAGGTCAGCTGGTCTGCAGAGTGAGTTCCAGGACAGCCAGCACTACTCAGAAAAACCTTGTCTCAAGAAACAAAAAAGTAAAATTAAAAAAGATATTTGGGGAAAATATTGATTTCTTAATACTATAGTTAAAAAAATAACCACAAACATAGTGGCTTCCTGTCCCACTTACAAACACACTTGTAATTACATGGGCCTCCATCCAGCTGACCCAGGACGGTCTCCCCATTACAAGACAACCAATTAGCAATTTAATTTCACCTGGGAATTTCATTTCCCTGCCATGGAACATGGCATCCCCCATAGGTTAAGAGTTAGGTCATGGGCACATTTATTATGCCCTATGCCCACCACAAAAAGAGATAGAACTCTAGAAAATCATAACTTCTGCACATCCTCCAGCAATCCTTCATTGACCCCCCACCACCACAAAAAAAAAAAAAAGAAAAAAGAAAAAAGAAAAAAAACTAGGTGCTATGAATCTGCTTGCCCATCTGGGAGGCTAGAATGCTTTCTCCACACTTGACTGTGCCCATCTCTTCAATAAGTTTACAAGCACCACACATGCAGGGCTCTCATCCTTGGTGTAAAATGACATCACATGTCATCCTTGGCTCAGCAGTAGTCTTCACGTGCAGTTGTGCAATGCATGGTGAACTGCTCAGTTGCCTGTACAGGATCCAGAATAGATCAGATGCTTAATGATGTTGCTGCTCTGGCCATTTCACTTGCTGCCATTTACTGTTTACTTGGTATATGCCAGGCTTTGGGAAGGGCCTTGCTTCCATCGTCTTGTTTGATTGACTTAACAGTCCATGAGGGAGGGACTGTATTTCCCCATGCTTTGCAGAAGGAAACAAGTTTAGAGATGAAGTTTTCCTCAAGGTCAAATGTGGTGATATATTGTTTATGATTTAATAAAGCCACTGGGGACCAAAAAAGCCACAGCCATGGGGCCAGACAGTGGTGATATACACTTTTAATCCCAGCAGCCATAATAGCTAGCCATAGAGGTGCACACCTTTAATCCCAGGACTTGGGAGACAGAGGCAGACAGATCTGTTAGTTCAAGGCCGCACTGAGCTACATGAAGCTGATCCAGTCTAAAAGAAAACAGCTCACACAAAGGTGATCCTAGTACTTGGGATCACATAGTTCCAGAAGACAGGAGTGGTGCGGCTGGGTGGAGAGAGGAATATAAAGCAGGAGACAGGAGCTCAGGGAGTGCAGCCTGAGGCTTGATGGAGAGCAGTGCAGTCTGCATTGCACTCTGAGGATTCCGGGAGACAGCATCATCCATTTTGGTTTGAGGTAGAGGTAAGAGCTAGTGGCTGGCTGCTTTGTTTTTCTGATCTTCAGCTTGAACCCCAATATCTGTCTCTGGGTTTTTGTTATCTGAGCTACAGTCAAATGACCAAGGAAAGGAACTGGGGTTAGATTTCAAATCTAATCTTTGACCCCCAAAGTCCATGTTCCTCTTAGTTCTAGTGGATTTGAGGGACTTTGTGGGCCCTGAAGCTACAAGGCACATACTCTCAAATTCTGTTGGATTCAGGGGAATGTATCCCAAGTCTAGCCCTAATAATCTGATAGCAAAGAGTGTTTCCTAGAGAAAGTTGTGGGAGAGGTCCCTCTCCTAGAGAACAGAGGCTGTCTATTTAACATGATAGAAGTCTGCATAAAAAAATCATCCACACACTTCCCAGACAGGCAGAGTCTTCCTACAGGGGAAGAACTTGAGTTATCTGGGGGGCCACCAAGTCATACCCTCACTAGTGACATAAATACCATCATAGATCAAGGGCTAGTGTGTGATAGTGATAGTGATGTCTGTCTTCCCAGCCTTCTCTCTGGATCCTTGCCTTTACCACGTAGGGTGACAAGATCACATCGGAAAAGTTATGACTTCTTCTCAGTAGGTGGAAGGCAGTGTCCAGGGGTAAAACCTCAGCACTGACTTTGGGTCAGCCCTTGGGGCTGTCTATGAGTCACACTGATCAGGCTGTATGCTATTCACGCAGAATATCCAAGAGGGAAGAGTTATTTGTATCAGTGGGTTGTAGCCTTGAGTAAGTTAGCTAAGGGCAGAGCATGGGGATGCAAGGGAAGTCAGTAAGTTAACCTGTTTGTTCATTCACTCAACAAACGCCACATACAGCAGTCACCTGGGTGGAGCTGGAGACAGTGCTGCTGGCAGAAACAGTAGGCCAGGCAAGCCTGGGCTTGGTCCTAACACCTCCCAGCTACATGGTAAACTACATACACCAGGCTAAGACATGAGCATTGTGGATAGGAGGCTGATGCAGCAACTCCTGGGGGAGGAGAGGGATTTGGAGTAGGGTTAAGCTCCCCAGGGCAGCAGCATTCAGGCAAGAATGATGTACTTGGAAGAAGGAGGTTTTGCGATGGGCCACCAGAGCAAGGCAGAGGATTTCAGGGTGCAAGTCAGTACCTTCAGTACAGTTACCAAGTTGTGCACCCATGCCCATCACCCCGTTTTGAGGCACCCCATCACTCCAGCAGTCTCTCCTGCCCATTCCCCATTCCTGTCTCCTGCTTCAGGCAAACACTTGTCAAGTTTTACTCTGGCCACCTTCACAGGACATTTCATATAAGCAGAACTGTTCAATTTTCTTTCTTTCCTTCCTCCCTTCCTTCTTTCCTCCCTTCCTTCCTTCCTTCCTCCCTTCCTTCCATGCCCTGCTTCCCCAACCCTATCTGATAGGTTCTTTCTATGGGCTCCAAGCCCATGCCTCATTTTCTTGATTTGTTTTTGATTACCTGTAAGATCTTCGAGTGCGGGAGGACAAGAGAGAACAGTGCTTCAGAATGGGGCGCAAGGGATGGGAGGGCAAGGGGACATATAGCTCCATTTGTACGTTGTAACAAGCATATGCCAAGTGTCTTAAAAGCCCCTGGAAACCAAAGGGTTATAAGCAGCTGTTTCTTGAGGCCTGTTTACAGTCCAGTTAATCAGTAATCCAGAATCCCAAAGTGGGGATGCGCAGAACCCTTCCAAAAGGTTTTCTAGGCTTACGAGAGGGAGAGAAATGAGGCCGGGGGGCACCGTGGCTGTCCCAGGGCCACAGAAATAATCCCAGCGTCGCGGAGGCAGGTGCCCAGTCTCCTGCAGGTGTGGCAGGTGTGAGGCAGGTCCTGGCTGCTCTTGGCTCTGGATCCCGACTAGCAGAGGATTTCTAGGATCGCTGGAGGCACATTTCAGAGTCGCTGGGAAGCTTGGCGAGATGCCAGACATACCTTCAGCCTTCCTGCCCCTCCTCCTTCTCTCCAGGTTAGTTGCCCCTGTGACCTTTCGTCACCACCGCTATGATGACCTCGTGCGGACACTATACAAAGTGCACAACCAATGCCCGGACATTACGCGGCTCTACAACATCGGGCGCAGCGTGAAGGGGAGGTACCTCTACGTGCTGGAGTTCAGCGACCACCCGGGGATCCATGAGCCCTGTAAGTCTTGTTGAGAAACTAACACCTTCCACAAATCCAGAGCCAGTGGTTGCTGCACCGGTGGAGTTCCCATGCAACGCATTACCTCTTCCTCCACCCGAGAAAGCAGGCGGTTCTACCTGGCTTTTAAGCTTCCCTTGGCCCTGGGGAGCTGCGACCCCAGTTCAGGCTCCAGCACATTCCTGCTTCCTGGTTCTGTTTGCTCAAGACGTCAGGGGTAAAGTGTGTCTTCCTTCTGTTCCCCTGCCCTCCCTCCCTTCTCTCACACCCCTGGTATTTTTCTTTATTCCTTCTATCAGAATCCAATGGCATGGGAGCATAGCACAATGGTTGACCTCCTAGTTCTCTTGAGGGGCCAAGCAGGTCTCTTCCAGGAACAGCACTGATCCAACATGGTGCTCTAGAGAGAGTTTGGGGGTTGGGGTATTTGGTTTCTTTTTTGTTAGTTTGCTTCTGTTATCAAAGCAATTCTTGTTTGCTTTGAAAATAGTTCATGACCATCCAGGCCCCATCTCAAAACAGCCAACCAACTGAAAAAACTAGAAATTGGATAAGCACAATCCTAACACTCAAGGATAACTATTATTTACGTAGATTGATATCGCACCGTCCAGATGTGATATTCAGTCCTATCTCCAATGCATGTGCCTTCACAAAAATGGAATCATGCTGTAGCTGTTTTCCTTAGTTCATCATCTGGGTCTATGAATGCAGCTGTATGGTATCATTTTGTAGTTGTGTAATATGCTGTTGCCTGCTGCCCATTAACTGTTCACATATTTATGAACATCGATGATGTTTCTAGTCTCTTGTTGCAACAATGATGACATTTTAGTTAAGTCACATAGCTTATGTCAGTTCCTCCTTCAGATTGTCAACAGCAAATCTCTTTCTCTCCCTCCCACACACACTTCCAATGGGTCCCCCACCCAAAGATGGCCATTCTCTGAACCCATCTTCTCCCAACTTGCCTGGGAGATGCCAGAGTCATTTCTTCCATTACCAATAGTCTTCTTGCACTCCTGCTTTAAAGGCACAATGGATACTGACCGTGAGAGCGTCAAGATTTTTTATAGAGAGAGCTCAAGAAGAGCGACATGGTTCCCCGGGGTTAGGGTCTTTCCCCGGGAAGCACCTGCTTTTACTCAGATCCCATCATGCTGTGGAAGCTCATGGCTGTTGATGGGCTTGATGAGGTTCTCTCTAGACCACGCCCCCTTCTTGGCACTCCTGTGCTTCCAGTACCCAGGGCCTTCCTCCAGGCTGTTGCAGACGATGGCAGCTCTCACCAATCTCTTTTCCCCTGAGTTACCAGTTCTTTCATTTGCTCCTTACATTCCTTCATTCTACAAATATTTACCCTGTCTACTAGATAGGAGAGCTTTTGTTGGGGTCGCAGAGATGGGTCAGCAGTCAAGAGAGCACGTGCTGTTCTTGTAGAGACCCCAAGTTTGGTTCCAAGCACCCAGCATCTCACAACTTATAAATCCAGTTCAAGGGGATCTGATACCCTCTTCTGGGCTCTATGGAACACACAGGCACGTATATGTGTGATTAAATAATAACCAGGAGGAGAGAAAGAGAGAGGGGGAGATCTCTATACAAAAGAACTTCCAGACAGGCGCGCCGGCACTTTTGTAGGCTTTAGAAATACAACAAAGAATAATACAGGCTTTCTCCTAATGGACCTGAATTGTAGAGGACTGAGATCAGAGATAAATGGGGCACTGGGTGAGTGGTTGGCATGACAGATGGAGTAAGTTCTACAGCAAGAGCTTAAACAAGGAAGAGAGAAGACAGACACAGTATGCGTCAGTCCAGAGGGAAGCAGAGGAGCTCAGTGGTGCCCCAAGGGCTTCTCTGGCTGAGGTGGTGTTGAGCAGAGATCTGAAGGTCTTTGAGGAGAAGGGTGTGGCAGGCTAAGGAAAAAGAAAGTGCAGCCCCTGGGAGCCAGAGCACAGTGGGTGCTGAAGTCAAAGCCAGGTGTTGAGAGTATTCGGGCACCAGGGAGCTTGTTTGGGACTTACAAGCAGGTGGACCCATCTTGGCCTTTACTTTGAGCAAAGCGAGATGCTGCTGAGAGTTTTAGACAGGGCAGTGATGCACTCTGACCAAAAGGTGTTTAAAGACAACTTGGGATGGAGGCCAACAATGGTAGCTCCTGGACCAGCCACCTGCGTTGGTGAAGCAGGGGCTTTGTTGTTTGTTTGTTTAACTTTTATTGATTCTTTTTGGATTTCACATCATGTTCCGAGCCCATTTATCTCCCTGTCTGGGGGAATGAAGTTTCACAGAACACCATAGCACTCATTTGTTCTTGAATTATTTGTGCTGGTTTCCACGTAAAGTTGAGTAGCTGTGACAGTGATAACATTGTCCATAAAGCCTAAAGATTCCATGACAGTCTCTCCTTGCCCTTTACATTAAAAGTTTTGTCAACCCCTGACTGGGTAGCACGGATGCCATCGGAGCCACAGGGTTGCAGGAAGACTGGGTGGGAGATGCTTCACAAAGACGATGGTGTGAGGTGGGGTGTGAGAGCTCGAGCCCAAATAATCCCTGGCAGTGTGTATTATGGGAAGTGGTTGTATTCTGTCTCTATTGCAACTAGAAGCAGAGGGCTTGCTTGTGAACACCCATTGAACATGCAGCACAATGGGTGAACCAGACCAGCAACTCCTATACCCCAGACTCACATTGCTTTGAAGAACTAAGAGAACAGAGGAGACCAAGCAGATTTTCCAAATCTTATTTTATCAGAGACAAATACCTGCTATTTATGATCACAAACATTTCCTTAAAATGGGGAGGAGGGAGGGAGGAACTGGGCGTGGCATTGCACATCTTTATTCCCAGCACTCAGAAGCAGAAGCAGGAAAGTTCCGGGACAGCCTGGGTCTCCATAGCTATCCATATCTCAAACAAACAGACAAATAAAAAACAAGAGAGAGAGAGAGGAAGAAGAAAGGATGTGAAGAAAATAAGACAAAATATTAAAGAAATAGAGTATGTGTTAAATGAAATAATTTTCTTAAGATGAGTCTTTCTATGTAGCCCTGCTGGCCTGGAACTTGCTATGGAGACCAGGCTGGCCTCAAACTCACAGAGATCTGCCTGTCTGAGACCCAAGTGCTGAGACTTAAGGCAAGTGCCACTATACCACTACACCAATATCTGCATATTACTTTTTAAGACACAATCCTCGAGGATGGAAAGCATTCTTTTAGAGAGCCTTGCTATATACAGGAATACTAAGATAAATAATGATGGATTTTTTTCTAAACACATGTTAAGATCATCTACTTGATTAATACTAGGTCCCATAAAGGAAGCAGGACTTGCGCATACATAGAGTTCAGAACAGTAAGTGCCATTAAAGGGGAGGACACAAAGGACTCACTTCTAGCAGGGAGAGCTCAAGTTGGTGACACAGACTTACAGTTTTTGAACTGGACCTGTGGGGATGGCAAGGACATAAGAGACAGGAATGAAGAGTCCCCCAGCAGGGAAGCAGAAATACATTGTGTAGGAAAGAAAGAAGTACTGGCAGGAGCTTTTGTTTAAAAGGAGCACAGCTGTCTTGTATTCAGTGACCCTAGAGCACTGGTTCTCAACCTGTGGGTCGCGACCCCACATCGTGGCATGTCAGGCGTCCTGTATGTCTGATATTTACAATTCATAATAGTAGCAAAAATATAGTTATAAGGTAGCAATGAAAATAATTTTATGGTTGGGGGGGGTCACCATAACATGAGGAACTGTAGCATAGGGTCCTATCACAGCATTAGAAAGGTTGAGGACCACTGCCCTAGAGGTTTCTACAGTCCCTCACTTCTGACTCTGTCCATTAACAGCTGAGAGAGGTTTGGGGGAAATGCCATGCCCCAGAAAGATTGGAGTGTGAGCAGTGTGCCGGTGTGTCTGTGTGTGCACTCCTCCACGGCACTGAGGGCTCGCTCAGACAAGTTACTTAGCATCACTCACTCACTCACTCACTCACTCACTCACTCACTCACTCACTCACTCACTCACAGAGGCTACTCCACAAGTTTTCTGTGAAGTTTAGACATGACCTTCAAGAGCTGGGCTGTGTTTCTGTTTCCAGTGGAACCAGAAGTCAAGTATGTGGGGAACATGCACGGGAACGAGGTGCTGGGCCGTGAGCTGCTGCTGCAGCTGTCGGAGTTCCTCTGTGAGGAGTTCCGGAACCGGAACCAGCGAATCCTGAGCCTCATCCAGGACACGCGCATTCATATCCTGCCTTCCATGAACCCCGACGGCTACGAGGTGGCTGCCGCGCAGGTACGCACGTCCGAGGGAGGGACTAAAGCCATCTTAAGAAATGAGTCCGTAGACAGTGTGTCCGGAGTCTCTTTGTAAATATCAGTTAAGAGAGGGAGGGGGAGGGAAGGCAGAGGGAGAAGAGGGCGGTAAAACAAATGGGGTGCTGGGAGAGACAGAAGCAAAGGTTAAAACCTTAGCATCCCTGAAAAAAACGCTCCACAGGCAGTGACTGTGGGCTCTGGTTGAACTTCAGTGACCTGTACACCAGTCCAGCAAACCTGTAAAACACCGCAGATGGGAGAGCGTGTTACCAAATAGCCGCCTTCCTGAACTGTTAGCAGAAGACCGCACACTGTCCCCAGATCTTGGGGTTGGGGGTTAATTCTAAATAATTCCTCTTCTCATTCCCTTCCCCCTCTTTTACCCTTTTGAGGCTTTAAACTAAACATGCTAGCCAGGTACTACACCACTGAACTATATTCCCCAGCCCCCGTTTTTACATTTTTATTCTGAGACAGGAGCTTGAAAAATTGCCCAGCTTTATGAAGCAGATCTCAAGCTTAGGACCCTCCCGACTCAGGTGTCCAGGTGGCGGGTCTCAGCTGCATCTGTAGGTCTAGCTAGTGTCTGTTTCTCCAGAGTCTACACTGATGCTAATGCATTCCAGTTCTTTATTCTGGAGTTGTTTTTGCAGTGAGACACAGAGAAACATGCTTACTGGCTTTGCCCTTCATTCCCTAACATAAATGCAACATGCCTTCGTGTCTGCCTTTAAACCCCTGCTTTGTGATCATGTGTCAGAATAATATGGGAAGAGTTTTGGAATGTGGATTCCAGGTCCCAGCTCAGTCTCCTTAATGTCATGGAAGGGCCTAGGCATCTAGCCAGTGTCCTCACAGCATCCTTTTAAACGCTGCGCTTAAATATCTTTACAGAAGGAAGGTTAAATTAAAGTGTATTTTGAATGCTTGAAGTGGGTACCAGAACCAGGATGCTGACCGAGCACAAAGCAACTGAAGGCACCACACAGAAGGAGAATGGATGGGGCCTTGAGTTCCGGGAGAGGGAGAAAGCTGGAGAGGAGGGAGGGGGACTCCAGCTGAGCTCCTGCTCTGTATTAGCTTTCTCTGTACTCAGTGGGGGAGGGGGGCTCAGAAGCAGCTGGGTGCTGCCCCACCCTTTGCAACAGACAAGATGAAGTCCCCTGAGGCCCCTTCCCTGCCCACCCGGTGAGTCAGAGGGAGAAGGTCTGGAATTTGATCTGAGAGAGGACCCACTGGGTTCTCAAACTCTGCTACCTAGGGAAAGGCTGTCTTCATGGCTCTGGGGAGACACCTAGCCAGACTTTAAAGCTACATGCGGGGGGGGGGGGTGGGAGGGGGTGGGGGTGGAATAATGGTTCCCTTTATTCACATATTAATCCCCAAGCCTATGAAAACGTTACACTGCATAGAGGAGTTAAGGTTGCAGATAGAACTGAGGGCACTAATCGTTTGGCACAAAATTGCAGGATTCCTTGAGGAAGCCCAGCCACCTTGGGCTTTGCAGTGGAAGAGGGAGGGTGGGGGTCAGAAGCTTCAAGCTCTTATGCAGCTAGCTCTGAAGATGGAAGAAAGAACCATAAAGCTAGGAATGTGAATGGTTTCTAGAAGCCTTGGAAGTCAGGGAAAGATTTCACATAGTCTTGCTGGCACCTCACTGTGACACCCAGTGCAGGCATCTGAGCTCCAGGTAAAAAGCTGCTATTGCTTTGTTTGTTTGTTTGTTTGGTTGGTTGGTTGGTTTTTAGAGACAGGGTTTCTCTGTATAGTCATGGCTGTCCTGGAACTCACTCTGTAGACCAGGCTGGCCTCAAACTCACAGAGATCCACCTGCCTCTGCCTCCCGAGTGCTGGGATTAAAGATGTGCACCACCACCATCTGGTTTAGCAATAGCAATCTATTACACCATTTGCTCTGTTTATGGGAACCTAGGAACCTTCAGCTAGGTAATGTTTCTCCTCCCCTCTCTCCTCTTCCTCTTCTTCCTACTCTCGCTCTTCCTACCCTCCTTCCTTTTCTTCCTCTTCCTTTTGGCTTTTGGCTCTGCTAGAGATGAAATCCACACATTTCACACATACTAAGTAAACACTCTTGACACCAAGCTACAACCTGCAGCCCAGAAAGTCCTCCCTCCCCCTCCCCTTCCTCCCTCTCCCCTCCCCTTCCTCCCTCTCCCCTCCCTCCCCTTCCCTCTCCCTATGAGTTTCCAATAGGAAGTGAGGTTCATTCACCTCACTTCCAGGAACAGTCAAGAATTTGAGCTTTAACCACTTAGCCTATAGGGCTGTAGTGGACAGTAGTCCCCTTCTCCAGTGACACATAAAATAATGCTAATGATTCCACCTACACACACACACACACACACACACACACACCTACACCTACCTTTTACCCCCACTCTGAAACAGGATCTGACGTAGCTCAGACTGGCCTTGAACTTGCTACGCAGAAAAACATGACCTTGAATTTCTGAACCTTATGCCACCACGCCTGCTAGTCTGCTGCCAGTGATTGAACAGAGGGCTTTGTGAATGCTGGCAAGCACACTCTTAATAACTGAGCCCCAGCTACAGCCCCAGCCAGCCCTAATGGGACTCTAACACATCTCTGCCACAGCTCTTTGTATTTATCTATGTAAATACCTAGTGTCTGAGGACCTCGGACTGACAGTACAGAAGTGAATGGTAGTTGACTAAATGGATGAACGAGTCGATGACTGAATTCATGAACAAATAAAGATAAGATCTGAACTGTGAACACAGAAATTAAAGGATCCAGAAGCTTAAGACTACTCGGAAGAAAGAATCCTAATATTTGGTTTGGTTTCACTAGCATATGTTAATTATTCATAAGGGTTTCTTAGTGACATTTTCATACGTGTATATGAAGTCGCCCTTTCTACCTCCTGCACGTGACCCAGAGTTTGATTAAGGTTGCTTTTGTGAGCATGGGTAAAGGGTCAATTATTGGAGGACTAGCATTTTACTTGTGGGGACACCACTGAAGAACCCCCAGTATCTCTTCTCCCTAGCAACCATTAACTGCTTGTAAATCCTCGGAGAGGGGTGTGGTCTAGGGAATTTCGAGGAGCCTGATCGTGTGCAGGCCTTACCCACATAATCACAACTGCTATGAGTTATTAATTCAACATCCGTGTCATGCCTGAGAGATAGCATTCCACAGCCCTCTTACATTCCTCCACCACCTCTTCCGCGGCATCCCTGGAGCCTTGGAAGGGTGACTCCCTCCTTTTCTGTTCTTTCCACTGCATCCTGCCTGTGATTAACCGTGACCAGCCAACCTCCTGCTCCCGCTACTGTGCCCTGGTCATGGTAGTATGTCAACCATGCCCTGCTTTCTGGCCCATTATAAAGTTACACTCTCCCTCCCCCTCTCCCTCCCCCCTTTCTGGAACTGTAAGCTGAAATAAAACCAATTTTTTCTCTTAAATTGATTTTAGTCATGGTATTTTATCACAGAAATAAAAAAATAACTAATGTAGTTAGTATCTTTAAAAGTGACACCACACTCTTGAAATGCAGGGTTCTGTCTTAAATGCCCATCTTTCCTCTCTTCATTTCTCCCAGGGCCCAAACGCATCTGGGTATCTGGTTGGTAGGAACAACGCAAATGGAGTGGACCTGAACCGCAACTTCCCTGACCTCAACACCTATTTCTATTACAACGAGAAGTATGGGGGCCCCAACCACCACTTACCCCTCCCGGACAACTGGAAAAGTCAGGTAGGAGCTGCTGAGTCAGCACCTGGAGTTGCTTGCACAGCGCTAAGCATTCTTCACATCCACAGAACTATCTAGAATTCCACATCAACCCCCTCCTCATCAATTTACCTAGAAGAATTATAGCTGCCAGACTCCTTTGTGTTCTTCCCTCTGGCAGCATAGAGCTCTCCTGGTCCTTGCTGACTGCAGGTTGATGGCGGTGGTGGGGAAGGAGGAGAAAGCATATACCTGGTGATTTCTCAAAGCTCTTATGGCTCAGTTGGTAAAGTGCTTGTCCTACAAGCATGGGGACCTGAGTTTGCACTCCAGAACCCATGCCATAAAGCTAGGTGTAGGGCCAGTGAGGAGGCCAGTGGGTAGTTACCTGCTGCCAAGCTTGATGACCGGAACCTGCATGGTGGAAGGGTTCCTGCAAGTTGTCCCTGACCTTGACATCAGGCTGTGGTGTACATGTTTTCATGCACACACACATGTGCACACAAAAGAAATGTAATTTAGAAAAATTTAAATGGATGGTGGAGAGTGAACAAGGAAGACACCCAACTTCAACCTCTGACCTCCCTACACACTCACACACACACACTCACACACACATGCACACACATGCACACACGCACACACACGCACACACCCGCGCACGCACGCACACACGCACGCACACTTGCACACACTCACAAACACACACATGCACACACACTCACACTCACACACACGCACACACTCACTCACTCACACTCACACACTCTCACACACACTCACACTCACACGCGCGCACACACTCACACGCACACACTCACGCACACACTCACACACACACACTCACACACACGCACTCACACACACGCACTCACACACTCACACACACGCACACACTCACACTCTCACACACGCACACACACTCACACTCACACACACTCACAAACACACACGCACACGCACACTCACAAACACACACACACGCACATGCACACATTAGCATGTACATACTCATGTGCAAAAATACACACAGACCTCCTGACTCATATTCCAACATTTGTTCTGCTAATCCTAGACTGTTGACAGAAAGCTCCAGCATTCCATAGACAAGTTTCTCCTTGTGATGAATCAGATGCTCACAGTCTTAGCTATAGAATGAGGTTCGTGGTGTCTAACTCATGGTTTCTCTTCTTTCCTCCTATGGGGCCCTTTGCATTTAAAAGCTGCCATTGTTTCCCATGCTCTCAATGGGAAACAGCATTTGATAAGTTCTGGGTAATGTGGACCTGCTACTGGGTGGGTGTATCTACCGCCATTCTCGGAGCATCCCTGCCTGCCCTGACTTTTCCTAGGGGGAATGGTTCCAACACTCCATTTATGAATATCCAAGCTTAGACACTGGGGAGAGGAGCCCAAAGCAGGGGAAAGCCTCTACATAGGATGTTCCTGAATGAATAGGGTCAGCATTCTCCCCTTGAAAATGATGGGGCTGGAGAGATGGCTCAGTGCTTCAAAGTGCCTACCATTCTTACAGAGGACCCACACTGGAGAGCTCACAATCACCTGTAACTCCAGTTCCAGGAATATCAGTTGTCCTGCACCCTTGTGGACATACACCACCCCCCTTGCACATAAACACATGTAATTTAAAATAAAATCTTTTTATGAAATGATGTAAAAGTCATATTGACATGTTAGATTTCTGGTTACAGCTGTCCTTTTGGCTCAGTTAAATAAGCCAAAAAGAATATAGTCCTGCTCAGTGTATGTTAGAAGAATATCATAGATAATTTTTTATTTTCTGAGGCAAGGTAACATGTACTCTAGGTTGGCCTCAAATGTACTTATGAGGATGACCTTGTGTGGAATATTCCTTTACATTGTGTAAATATACAATACTATAATTGGTTTAACATAGAAGCTGACTGGCCAATAGCTGGACAGGATAAGGTTAGGGGGCAAGCCAAACAGAGAATGCTGGGAAGAAGAAGGACAGAGTCTCAGGAGTCTTGAGGAGATGCAGAGAGAAGCAAGATGGGCATGCCATACTGGGAAAAGGTACCAAGCCACATGGCAAAGCATAGATAAGAAATATGGATTAATTTAAATGCAAGAGATAGCCAGTAACAAGCCTGAGCTATTGGCTGAGCATTTATAATTAATATTAAGCCTCTGTGTGGCTACCTGGGAGTGGCTTGCAGGACAGAAACTTCTGCCAACAACCTTGAACTTCTTTCTGTTCCTCCTGCTCTGCCTCCCGAGTGCTGAGATTATGGTCGTGAGCCATGCTGTGAATTTTTTAAATGTTTATCTGTGTATTTGTAATTATGTGGGGCTCTATGTATCAGAGATGGGTGTACACCTTAGCCACAAGTGTTCTCAGAGTTCAGAAGAGGGTGTCGGGTCCCCTGGAGCTGGAGTTACACGTGGTTGTGACCGAACATGGGTGCTGAAAACCAAACGTGGGTCCTCTATGCTACCAGCAAGCGCTCTTAACTGCCGAGCCATCTCGGCCGCCCCATGTTTTGATTATTAAACTTGTCTCTCTGCATAAGACAAGATAATGAGCCCTCCACTCAGTCCTCGATCTAACTCTGAAGGGGAGAAGTGCCAGTAGAAGTTCTTCTGTGCCCCTGATAGAAGAGCTGTGAGGGAAGGAAGGACCAGAAGCTGGCCTTTGGATCGTGGAGTAAGGGTGCATCAAAGGACCTGAGCTCTTGGTCCTACAGCCATATGCCATAAAGCGACAGCAGTGATCCCCTGGCCAGGCAGCCATCTTAGTTTGTGTACGTTTGCTCTGTGACTTTGCAGAATGACGAAATTGCCTAACATTGCTCAGGACGTACCCATTAGCACGATGTGTCTGTTCTGATTGTGTGAGACCTTTGGGGGACTAGAAAGACAGGACCTTTAGAACCCACCTTTGGGCCAGGAAGGGTCATTCACTAATTTGCCCCAATAGGTCAGCTAGCAGACCCATCTGTGAGGAGGGAAGGCCCTGGTGACTGGGCTGTTGTGGGTTCAAGGCTTTCTTCATACTGCCAATCACTAGCAAAGTGATGCTCAGTAGAGATAGGTATGTCCAGTCTATGAAATGTCGCTATGACCAGACTGTGGCCATTAAAATGGTACCACAGATGTGTTGGGAAGAGGAGGCCGAGATCATTATCTCAAGCAATGGTTTACTTTATTAGAACCCTAAATTTTTTGCAAAGATATCTTAGAAGCTCAACCCCTGCTGCACTGGGTAAACTGGGTAAACTGGGAAGCCTTTCGCTCTCTTGTTCTCCCTCTCCCCATCCCTTCTCCCTCCCTTCTCTCTCCCCTCCTCTCACAAAAGTGAGTAAAAAATTACAAAGAGTTCCCCACAGACTTCCTGTTCCCACACCGGCCCCTCCTTTATCGTCATATCCCAGAGTGGTACATTGGTTACAGTCAGTGCAACATTGACTTGGCCCCAGCACTCAGAATCTAAACTCTCCAGTCCCACTAGTGACAACCGTTGGTGTCTCAGCGTCTGTGGGTGTGGGTGCACGTGCTGGACGTGTCCACCGCTGTCGTGTGTATAGTCCTAGTCCCCTGGAAGCTCGCTTTGCACCTGGTCTGTGCATCACGCCCCACATAGTTCACTTAGGAAGGGTCCCACACAGTCAGTTTTAAAATCGTCATGGCCAAGGTCAAAGTTTCCCAGCTCCAGTTCTCATATCTGGAGTGGGGTTATGGGATGCACTATCCCTGTAGGCCCCTTCCTCACAGGGTTCTCTGAGGGACCACGTGGCAGCTCAGCCATAACTTGGTTGCCAGCTTCTCATGTCTTCACAGGTGGAACCCGAGACCCGGGCCGTGATCCAGTGGATTCGCTCCCTAAACTTCGTTCTCTCAGCCAATCTGCATGGCGGGGCAGTGGTGGCCAATTACCCATATGACAAGTCCCTGTTCCGAAGTCCACACCGCACCTCCAATTCTCCCACACCGGATGACCAGCTCTTCCAGACGGTATGAGGAATGGCAGCTAGCCCCAGCAGGGGACGTGGACCTCAGGAGGGGAGGGAGAGTCATGTCAGAGATAGCAGATCATATAGGTAAGTCCACAGTCAGTTACAGAAAGCAGGATCTGCTTGGGAGGGACAGTTTAGTAAGTTACATTTTATTTCTGTTGACAGGCCATAAGTCCACAAGTGATTAAATCAAAAGGAAAACATTTTATAGTTGCTATGACATAAAGAACAAATTAAGCTGGTGACCAATAAGAATACGCCTGAAAACTAGTCACTCTGTCCTCAAGACTAGTCACACTCTCCTCGAGTTAGTGGAATGAAATGTGAATTTTGAATGTAATTTACACTCCTATGATAACATGTCTATCTTAATGAAAATAGACCATGCAAATTAAGATTTAAATAATAATACGAAACAGTAGAACCAGGAGTTGGAGAGATGGGTCAGCAGCGAAGAGTTCCTGCTGCTCTTGTAGAGAGAGGATCCCAGTCCTGTTCTCAGAGCATCCATGTTTGTTAGCTCAAAACCACTTCCAGGGGACGTGACACTTCTGGTCACCAAGGGCAACTGCACTCACACACACATACATAGACACATACACATATAATCATTTTTTAAAAAGGAATATAGAGAGTTATATATTCATATTATATATTTTGTAAGTTTACACTCTGTTGTGATAAAATTTATTAACTAAATTATAAACTTTGACTATATAGATAATAAAATATTAATATTATCATTTATCAATTAATTATAGAGAATGATACCAGTTTACTTTACAAAGGCAGTAAATTAATATATTTTTCTCCAGTAATAGCATTTTGTCTACTCTTACATAAAAAAAATAATGACCAGGCATGGAGCTGTATGCCTTTAATTTCAGTACTTGGGAAGCAGAGGAAGGTGGATCTCTGTGAGTTTGAGGCCATCCTGGTCTAAAGGACCATTTCCAGGCCAACCAGGGAAAGATGTCTCAAAAAACCAAAAACAGAAAAATTATTAAAAAGTAAGGATGATCATAGCATCTTAAGCATGTGTCTCTCCAACACATCTTTCATCTGTCAAAACACGTTTTCTACTTTACTTGCTCTTTGATTTCTTTCATTAAGTTCAGCTAGAAAATGGTCCAACTGGAAAGGACCTCCTGTGTGATCCTAGCAGCAATTACAGCAACAATTATAGAAGCTGAGGTAGGACTGAGTTTAAAGCCAGCCTGGACAAGTGTGAGAGGCCGAACATGACTCCAGAGTTCCCAAATGCAGTCCGAACCGCGCTTGTTTAAATAATGCATGTACACTCACACACTCACACACACACACACACCACCACCACCACCACCACCACCACCTGACCATCTCCTCCTCTATCTCTGGTCACACTTCCTTGCACTGAAGCATATAATGCATTGTGCCTGCCACTGTGTCCTCTTGGCGTCCCCATAGTTCAGAGTCTGAGCCACCTGTGTGTGCGTTGGGATTGCTCTCAGTCATTTCCTGCTTTCCCTCCAGCTGGCCAAGGTCTACTCTTATGCCCATGGATGGATGCACCAAGGTTGGAACTGCGGCGATTACTTCCCAGACGGCATCACCAACGGGGCGTCATGGTACTCTCTCAGCAAGGGTAAGCAGAGTTCGGGAAACAGCCATTTCTCCTTCTCAGGGAATACTATAGAATTTTGCTCCTAGGAGGGCTCCCAAGATGGCATTTAATAGCCTATTTGTGACTCTAAGAGACCAAGGAGAGGATAATGTGTGGTCTTGTAAAACTAGTGTTTTATGCCCTGACTTGCTGGGGCATAGAAGGAAAACAATGAGACCAAGTGGGGAAGATTAAATCAGTTTGGAATTGATAGTTCATGTACCAGCTGTGTGGCTTCAGGCTAATTGCACAGCCCCTCTGTGCTTTAGTTTTCCCATCTCTAATTAAGCCCGATAATACACTCAACCTCATAATTTTGATGCTTTAAGTAAAGCAGTTAGAAATGCCTGGCTTCTAAATGCTCTGTTTTCAAAAGCAGCACAGAGATGGGCTTCAGACAGCAGGAGGTGAGCAGAGGGGTTGGCCCCCTTGATGGCTGCTCTCTGCACTGGGGCTACCAACTTCCCAGAGCAGGAACTTGCATGGGCATTGGCTGTTCATGCCAAAAGGTCAGAGAGCTTTAGCGGTAGGTGCACCCACCGCATTCCCCCACCCCTTCCCTGCACCCTGTCCCATCCCTCCCTCTTCCCTGCTCCTGGCCTGGGGCAGGCTCAGAGTAAACACGTGCTGTGAACCTTCAGGAGCTGTTCTCATCCCTCTTTTTCATACTCTCACATCTGAGCCACCCCTATGGATGGAGGCTGAGCTGATGTTTGGTCCTCGGGAGAATGGGGAGGAGAAAAGCCGTGGAGTTACTGTCTACAAAGAAGTTAAGACTTGTGGCCCCAAACCCACTTGAACATAAGCAGGAAGATTCAGTTAGAGTCTAATTTCCTTAATTTTGTATTAGGAAACCGACCCCTCCACCCCCTCCCAAAACTGGAATCCTTAGATGTGCTTTTTCAAATTGTGCTTGTTTGTTTTTTCTCTCCTTCTTCGCCTTCTCTGTCCTCTGAGAAAGCATGGCCTATGCCTCCTCAGAAATTCTCCTCTCTAAAGCAAACTGGCACAATCTCAAGAATAACTTGATTAATTAGGTCAGTCACAAAGGTTGTCTCAGCTAGTGGTGTCTGACCCTGCATCACCAGTACCCTTTGGGAAGTTAGACATACAAACTTAGTCAGAAACTCTGGGAGTAAGGCCCAGAGCTGATCTGTGTTTAGCTGGATGACCCAGCCTTCCAGAGGACTCAAGTGCATGGGAGGAAACTGTTCATGGAGTTATGGTTCTTGGTCTCTGGATTGGTCAGGGTTCTCTACAAGAATAGAACCCATAGAATGGATGTGTGTTAAAAAGGGGAAGTTATTAGAATCACTTACAGGATAGAGTCTGGGTAGTCCAACAGTGGCTGTCTTCACACTGAAGACATTGGGGACCTGGCACCTGCTCAGCTCCTAAGCTGGGTCCCAGTGCACCCCCAGTCTGGTGCTGAAGGCCCAGAAGATTCCTAGAGAGAAGTTGGTCTTCAGCCCATGTTATAAGACCAAAGAAGCTAGGTTCCAGTGTCATGGGAGGATGGCAACAATAGAGTAGATGAACCCAAGAACAGGGTGTTTTGGGGTTCATATCTAGAGCTGGGATTGTTGGATTATGTGCTGGTTTTTTTCTGTGGTAGCTGTACCATTTTATAGTCTTATCAACCGCACACAGGCTCCAGTTTCTCCATGCCTTTATTAGTACTCTGTTGATGGAGTTTCTGTCCCGCCCCATCCTGCTGCCCTTCAGTCCCAAATAAACACACAGAGGCACATGACCTGAAACTGGGGAATAACTATAGGATAAAAGTTAACAGATGTCAAGAGGCAGAAGACGAGGTGATGGAGATGCAGTGGAGAAATTGTAACTAAAGAGAAAGATGGGGTGGGTGATGGTGGGTGCTCAACATGCAGGTCTGCTATTGCCTCTTTCCCTAGGAATGCAAGATTTTAATTATCTCCACACCAACTGCTTTGAGATCACACTGGAGTTGAGTTGCAACAAGTTTCCCCGCCAAGAGGAGCTTCAGCGGGAGTGGCTGGGTAACCGGGAAGCCTTAATCCAGTTCTTGGAACAGGTAAGATCTCATTTTTGACTCTTGTGGTTGCAGGAGAGGCTCTTCCAATGGCGGCCGGGGTTCCCACAGACTCAGGTCTGGCCCTGGCTCTGACTAGCACTCTACTCATGTACTCAGTGTCCTGGAGCACTACCGTCTGTCAAAACTTTACTATAAGCTGAGGACTCTGGGTAAACAAGCATGTATCTCTGTCTGTATGGAATTGCCGTTCTAATGAGGACAGACAATAAACAAAATAAGAAAGCAAATTCTGTAAAGTGTTAAAAAGAGAAAGGCTGTGAAGAAAGCCTTATGGTGACGGTGACTCTTAAACAAAAGAGTCCAAGGAGCAGAGGGCACAGTCAGGCCAGGTGTAGAGCAGGGCGGGGCCCTCCACGGCAGGTATGTGAAAAAAAGCCAAGCTGACATCTGAAAGCATGCCCAGTGTCACCAGCCACAGGGAGCTGCCGCTCACACACACTGAAGCAGCTGCTGTCAAAAACAGGAGTGACAAGGCTTACGAGGACACGGAGGAACCAGACCCCATGAGCACTGTTGCGGGGAGTGGAGCGTGGCATCACTTCTGTGGGAAACAGTTACAGATCAGCCTGCAGTTTAGTTGAAGAGAGACCCGGGTCTCCAGAGCCGCAAAGGGAACGGCAATGAAAAGAAAATTATCATATTATTCAGCACTGTTATATCCCGAAGAAGTGGGATCAGATAGACAGACAGACAGGAAGGAAAGAAAGAAGGAATATTATTCACCTTTCAAAACAAAGTAAGCTCCGACGCACATCTTAGCATGCATGGACCTTGAGGACAGTATGCTAAGTGAAATAAGCCAGTTACAAACATGTGTATTTTGTGACTCTGTTTAGATACAGTTCTTAAAAGTGTAGAGACAGAATGCAGAATGATGGCTGGAGTTGGAGGAGCGGAAGTGGGGTGGGGGGGGGAGTGTAAATGTAGCAGCAGCTCTGAGGGGAGCCAAGGGATACCTCAAAGTCACCCCTCACACTAAAGATTCACTGGGAAAGATCCAAGAGGGTGGCTACCTCTGCTCAGGCAAGGAGTAGCAGGGGACTGAGTGAAAGGCAGACTTTTATAGGGTTTCCTAGGGGTGGAGTTTTCCAGACTGAGCATGGGGCAAACCCAGAGATTGGTGGGTTTTCAAAACCCGGAAGTGAGTGATGGAGAGTTACTATTTAAGGAGAGCAGCTTCAGTGTCATTAGATGAAGACAATTCTAGAAATGAGTCGTTATGCTGGGGACATGTTACAAACATATTTGATAAACTGAAATATACAATTTACAATAGGAGTATTTTATCACAATTTATTTTAGAGTGGTGTGTGTGGGGGGGGGGTTGGAAATCAGAAGACCGCTTGTGGGAGGGAGTCGGTTCTCTGCTTCTACATTTGGGTGTTGGGATCAGACTCAGGTTGCCAGACTCGGCTGCAGATGCCTTTATCCACCATGCCATCTCAACAGCTCTCATCACAATTTAAAGTTCTTTTGAATTAAGCAAACTTCAAGATTAGGCCATCAGGAACTGGAGAGATGGCTCAGCTCTTGAGAGTACTGGCTGCTCTTTCAGAAGACCTGGGTTTTGATTTCCAGCACCCCAGGGCGGCTCACAGTCATTGGTGAGTCTAGTCCCTGGGAATCTGAGGCCCTCTTCGGGGACCAGGCCTGCATATGGCACACAGGCAAAATACACAAACACATAAAGTTAATAAAAATGTTTACAGGAGTAGAGTAGCAGCAAGACTGGAATGGAAGCGGATCTGAGGGACATGGCAGAGGGCCGATGTCGTGAGGCTGGGCTGCTGATGGGGACTGCGGCTTCACAGGCCAGCATGGGAGCCTAAGGCCTTCTGCGTTAGGCTCTGGTGAGGAAGGCAGTATGATGTGACTGAGAGTCTAGCAGGTCACTCCATCTTCGGGGAAGGCATTGTGGGGTGGGAAGAGCATCAAAGCACGGGCTTTACAGGCTGCGGCCATGGCGTTAGTGAAGGTGGATGGTGAGGACCCATGAGAAAGGCCAGGGCCTCTCCCGCTGCACCCGTTATGTGGTTCTAACTCGCTGTGGGCCACTGTCTCCTGCAGGTTCACCAGGGCATCAAGGGAATGGTGCTCGATGAGAACTCCAACCACCTCCCAGGGGCTGCCATTTCTGTCAGCGGGATCAATCACGATGTCACTTCAGGTAGGTAGGAAGGGAGTTTCTGCTCCTTGTCTCCAGCCGTCAAGGACGCTGGACGGGAGTCACTGAAGGAAGGAAGGGTGCCAACGACGATGGGGACATTCTCTCACTTCTGGAGTGAGCATGCTCTGAGGGCCGGGAACATTGGCGCAAACGGGGGTGGCTGTGGAGATAATCTTGTTGGGAGTATTTCTGGGCTTGACGGTATTAATTAATAGGGCCAAGAAGGACAATAACCCTAATGTTTAGTCTCCCTTCTGGCTTAGGCATTTCCCACATGTCCATTCAGGAAAAGCTAATAGATTCCTCCTATAGTCTTGATCTGAGGCAGGGTCAGCAGTGGAGGGTGATCTTGGAATTACCTGGGACCTGCTGGAAGGGTACTGTCTTGGTTTCTTTTGTTGTTGCTATGATAAAGGAGCCCGAAAAAAGCAATTTAGGGGAGAAAGGGCTTGTTCTGGCTCACACTTCCAGGGTCTAATCCATCGTAGTTGGGGGTTGTGGTGGCGGGAGCTTGACGAATCTGGCCAGCTCACATTCCTAATCAGGAGACAGATTGACTTAGTTCTCTTTCTTCACTGGCTCAGGCCCAGATGCCAGCCAGGGACTGTCGCTACCCACAGTGGGTGAGCAGTCTCACCTCAGTTACACAGCCAAGATAATCCCTCACAGGCATGCCCAGAAGCTCACCCCAGGTGATTCTAGATTCTGTCCAGGGATGGTGGATGCCAACAGGGAAATACAGTGTTGCAAAGTGCCCCAGCTGAGTCAGCCATTTGGTAGGAGTTTCTATATGTTTTTCGTGGATGCCGCTTGCTACTGGTAAGAGTTTCTATGTTTTCCGTGGATGTCGGTAGCTACCCACCTGCCAAAACAACCTTGCTGGCTACCAAGCAGGCATGCCACAGTTCATGCTGCCTGTTCAGGCTGGATGAAGTCTGTGCTTCACATCCTTGAAGAGGTCTCAGAGCCTCTTCAGAGGCAGCCCTATTTAAGGAAAAGGCAGTGTTCTGAAAGAATTCTGTCGCTTCAGTCTGGTCAAGCCCGGGAATCTTCTAGGCCATTGGCTGCGCACAGGACCGTGTAGGGCTCAGACCTCAGCCCCTTCCCCAAGAGCACAGGCTGCTGGTTCTCCTCCATGTAAGCAAGGGTGGGAAGGTCTCTGAAACATCAGAGCCACTGAGAACAGATACCACAGAGAGGCCCCACATAGAAGTCATTCCCCTCGTTAGTAGCAGTGACGAGCTACTTGGCAGAGCACTTGGTGTTAGTTGCAGGTGGAGATGGCCTCTTTGAAGAAACATCCAGAATGGAGCTTTTGTAACACAATTGCTAATCACTCCTGAGTGTGAGCCCCCAGTTAGGATAATAACAGTTTCTGGGTATAACCTAAACTGTCCAATGTGTACATAATAATATCCTGCATTGCTAAAGTATTTTAAAGTAAATTGCAGGGCTGGGGTGTAGCTTGGTAAAGTATTTGCCTAACACTCAAAAGCTCTGGGTTCAATTGCAGCACTGAGCAAGGCATGGGACTGGACCACACACCTGTAACCCTAGCATTCGGACGCTCAAGGTTGTCCCTGACTACATCGTGAAGTTAAGACCAGGCTGGAATGCGTGAGACCCAGCCCCACACACATTAGGCGGGTCATGCATACCCATAATCCCTAAACTGGGGAGATTGAGGCAGAAAGATCGTACATTTGAGGCCATCCTTGGGCAACAAAACTAGTTTGGGGCTATGTATGTCCATGTCTTTTAAAAAAACACTTTAAAAATAATATTCTTTGGCCAGCATGGTGGCACACTCCTGTAATGCCAACACTCAGAAAGCTGAGGTAGGAAGATCATGAATTTGAGGCCAGACTGCATAGTGACTTTGACACTAGCTTGGGTCACATGAGACCCTGTTGTCTCAAAACAGAGAGGACGTGGGAGGCGGGGGTGGGGTGGGGTGGAGAAAAGCAAGATTCTCAAGCCAGACTGTCAGTGATCATTTAGTCTAACTCTCCCATATGTAACAATCCTGGGTGTTGCTTGTCCAACCCGGATCCAGGATTGTTAGTATAGAATGCACACTGCTCAGCTATGTAGCGTTCCCCGGGGCCTCGATGCAGCTTCTTGAGTACCCACAATTCTGCACCTCAGTCCATTCCTTTCTTTGACAGCTCTTCACAGTAGTTCCTGCTCCTCTCTGGTGACATCTGCTGTCGTGTAACTATAGACTTGGGGCACTACTTCTTCAAACAGAAGTTGTTTCTTCACAATGGCTTTCCAAATGTCAGAGGGCTCAAAGTTTTCTTGTCAGGCAAACTATTAACAGACATTTCTGCCTTTTCTCTTTCCTGGCGACTTGTTATCGGGTGAGTCTGTAGTAGACCTAGGATCTAGCACGGACTGTAGCTCAAGGCAGAGCACAGTGAAACCTTCCCAGGAGTGACTCCTGCCGAGGAATGTTCCTTCTGAACCATTTAGCCGTTTACAGGTTTCATCATGCTTCAAGAAAACCAACAAAACCAGGCTCTGGTCAGCTCAAACCCCCGATCGCTGTCACGGCCAGGTTCTGTCTGAAGTAGGTTTGAAGTCAGCTGTCTGAGCTGCATCTGTCTGACTTTTAGGTGAACATGGGGACTACTTCCGTCTGCTGCTTCCTGGTACTTACATTGTTACCGCCAAGGCACCGGGGTATGACCCAAAAACGGAGACTGTGACTGTGGGGCCTGCAGGACCAAAACTGGTGAGTCTGGCTGAGCCACCCCTGTTCTGTAAATGTCACTCAGCGTCTTAAACCGCCCTGTTGCTGGCTTCCCCTTGACCTTTCCTGATTCGTCTCTTTGACACTGCCTGTCTCTCTCGATCTGCTTCTCCCTCTGTAAATTAGTTCTAATGCTTCCTTCTCAGGGATTGCAAAGACAAATCACAGTCCCTTAGGCTGGTTAGGCCCTGCAGATTCCCCAGGCAGTCCTGGTTGCATTCTTCAAGGCCATGAACAGGAATCACCACTAGGTGGCGCTCTGCAAGCCTTCTGTGCCCTGTGGTCACAGGCTCACTTTCCCTTTGCTGCTGCCAAGGACCAGCCCACCTCCAATGCTCAACTCCCCACAACTCTCCTTTATAGTTAGGATGAGAAGCAAAGAACTTACAGCCTGGAACTTTTCACCGTAGACCGTATCACGTCAAAATCTTAGCGCATAAAGAAGCCATGGACGTCAGCCCTCCTAGCACTCCGGAGGCTCATAGTTTTTATATGTTTTGAATGCAGTACTCAGTTCTTTTGCATAACTGCTGGGCATCACCCATTTTAGCCTTCACAACTCCATGTAAGTAACTGTACAGTATCACAGGGGGTGGGTGCTGCACAGAGCCCTGTGAGCCAGCAGAGCAAAGAGAGCTTCAGGCCTCTTAAAAATCCCTCTGAAACTTACGGATCACCACTCCCCGCAACACCTCCTCCATATCGTCTCTCTGTGTGTGATGCGTATGATATGTGTGAGCATGTGTTGGGAGGATAGGTCATGGGCATGCCGTGGCATTTGTATGGCGGTCAGTCCAGGGATGACTTCATGTGTCAGTCCTTGCCCGCCACCCATTTGAGGCAGTGTGTTATCGTGGAATAATAAGGATCGGGAAAAACAGATAGGCTGAATGGATGTTTATTCAGGGAGAAATAACTTACAACAGAGACAGATGAACACCAGCAGGTCCCATCCCAAGGATGCCTCTGGATGCTCTCTGTCTCTGTCCAGTCCCGCAAGCAAGAGAGCACTACGGGGTCCCTAGCCCAGACCTAGTTCCCCCAGGTCATGTCTGCATCTGTCCCCAATGGGCGTGGACAGAGTGAGCATCTCACTACAGTGTGTCTTGGTTGTTTGCTGCACAGTGTGTGTGTTCCAGCTAGCCTGCGAGCTGCCAGGGATGTTCCATCTCTGCCTCCGGTATCACCGCGGCTACTGGGTGGGTGTCTTGCTTTAAGTGGCTTGTGGGGATTCAAACTCAGGTCTTCACACTTGTGTGGCTTGTGCTTTATACTGACAGCCAGGGGAAGAGAAGACAGCCCCTCCCCCCCATCATGCAAAACCCTATGTCCCAGCTAGTGCATCCCCTTTCTTCCCTATTTTACCCTAAAATGAAATGCCAGCAGCAGCCACATACATAACCATGCCCTGTAGGCAAGCCTGTGCACTGCCTACAGTGTAAACAGCTCCACAGCCCCTTGAGTGAGTGACGCCTGTTTTGAAGTTGTTCACTCGCCACCCTGTATCCCTTAAATAAACTAGCATAACCATTCATTGTGTCAAGTATAACCCAGAGGCACAGTCTGCCATTTGGATGTAACATTCGGCGGCAGTAGCAGCCACCAGTCTGTTTATTGGTTGCACTACCGTCTGCTTCGCTTCCATTTTAATTTCAGAGCAGTTAGTCACATTCTCCAGCAAAGACAAAAGTTGTTTCCTAAAGGATTTTCATCTACAATTAAGGGGGTGAAAGTCTCTCTCAGGGCCCAGAATCCTCTGCTGCCCCACCTCCCTGCAGGTGGTGGAGCCTCTCCTCCTCTGCCCTCCCCTCCTCTCCTCCCCTCCTCTCCTCCCCTCCTCTCCTCCCCTCCTCTCCTCCTCTCCCCTCCTCCTCTCCTCCTCCCTCCCCTCCTCCCCCCTCCCCTCCCTCCCTCTCCCCCTCCTCCCCTCCCTCCTCCTCTCCTCCCCTCTCCTCCTCCTCCCTCCTCCTCCTCCCTCCTCCCCTCCCCTCCTCCCCTCCCCCTCCTCCCCTCCCCCCTCTCCTCTCCTCCTCCCCTCCCCTCCTCCCCTCCCCTCCTCCCCTCCCCTCCTCCTCTCCTCCCCTCCCTCTCCTCCCCTCCTCTCCTCCCCTCCCTCCTCCCCCTCCCCCCCTCCTCCCCTCCTCCCCTCCCCTCCCTCCCCTCCCTCCCTCCTCCCCTCCCCTCCTCCCTCCTCCCCTCCTCCCTCCTCCTCCTCCCCTCCCCCCCTCCTCTCCTCCTCTCCTCTCCTCCTCCTCCTCCTCCTCTCCCTCCTCCTCTCCCCTCCTCCCCTCCCCTCCTCCCCCTCTCCCTCCCTCCCTCCCTCCTCCCTCCCTCCCTCCCCTCCCTCCCCCTCCTCTCCTCCTCCCCTCCTCCTCCCTCCTCCTCCCCTCCTCCCTCCCCTCCTCCCCTCCTCCTCCTCTCCCTCCCCTCCCCTCCCCTCCCCCTCCCTCTCCTCCCCTCCCCCCCCCTCCCCCTCCTCCCCCCCCTCCCTCCTCCCCTCCCTCCTCCCCTCCTCCCTCCCCCCCCTCCTCCTCCTCCTCCCTCCCCTCCCCCCCCCTCCCTCCCTCCCTCCCTCTCCTCCCCTCCTCCCCTCCCCTCCTCCCCCCCCTCCTCCTCCCCTCCCCTCCCTCTCCCTCCTCCCCCTCCCTCCCCTCCTCCCCCTCCTCCTCCCCTCCCTCCTCTCCTCCCTCCTCCCTCTCCTCTCCTCCCTCCTCTCCTCTCCTCCCTCCTCCTCCTCTCCTCCCTCCCTCCTCTCTCTCTCCTCCCTCCCTCCTCTCCTCTCCTCTCCCTCTCCTCCTCCTCCTCTCCCTCTCCTCTCCCTCCTCCTCCTCCTCTCCCCTCCCTCCCCTCCCCTCCCCTCCTCCTCCCTCCCTCTCCTCCCTCCTCCCCTCTCCTCTCTCCTCCTCTCCCCTCCTCCTCTCCCTCCTCCTCTCCTCCCTCCCCCCCCTCCCTCCCCTCCCTCCCCCTCCTCCTCTCCCTCCTCCCCCTCCTCCTCCTCCCTCCCCTCCTCTCCTCCCTCCTCCCCCTCCCTCCTCCCTCCCTCCCCTCCCCTCCCCCTCCCTCCCCCCTCCCCTCCTCCCCCCCTCCTCTCCTCCCTCCCCCCCTCCTCTCCTCCCTCCCCTCCCCTCCTCCCTCCCCTCCCTCCCTCCCTCCCCTCCCTCCCTCCCCCTCCCTCTCCCCTCCTCCCTCCCCCTCCCCCTCCTCCCTCCCTCCCTCCCCCTCCCTCCCTCCCCTCCTCCCTCCTCCTCCTCCCTCCCTCTCCCTCCTCTCCTCCCCCCTCCTCCTCCCTCCCTCCTCCCTCTCCCCTCCTCCCCTCCCCTCCTCCCTCCTCCTCCTCTCCTCCTCTCTCCCCTCCCTCTCCCTCCTCCTCCTCCTCCCTCCTCCTCCCCTCCCCTCCCTCCCTCCTCTCCCTCCCCTCCCTCCCTCCCTCCCTCCCCTCCCTCCTCCTCCCCCTCTCCCTCCCTCCTCCCTCCCCTCCCCCCCCCCCCCTCCTCCCTCCTCCCCCTCCTCCCTCCCTCCTCCCTCCTCTCCCCTCCCTCCCCTCCTCCTCCCTCCCCCCCTCCCCTCCCCTCCCCTCCCCTCCCCCCTCCCCTCCCTCTCCCCCCCCCTCCCTCCCCTCCTCCTCTCCCCTCCCTCCCCTCCCTCCTCCCTCCTCCTCCCCTCCCTCCCCTCCCCTCCTCCCTCCTCCCCTCCCTCCCCTCCCTCCCCCTCCCCCTCCCTCTCCTCCTCCTCTCCCTCCTCCTCCTCTCCTCTCCCTCCTCCTCCCTCTCCCCTCCCTCTCCTCCTCCTCTCCTCTCCTCTCCCCTCTCCTCTCCCCTCCCTCCTCCTCCTCCTCTCCTCTCCTCCCCTCTCCTCCCCCCCTCCCCTCCTCCCCTCCCTCCCCTCCTCCTCTCCTCCCCTCCTCCTCTCCCTCCTCTCCCCTCCTCCTCTCCCCTCCTCCCTCCCCTCCTCCCCTCCCCTCCTCCCTCTCCTCTCCCCTCCCTCCCCTCTCCCTCCTCCTCTCCTCCCTCCCTCCTCCCCTCCCCTCTCCTCCTCCCCTCCCCTCCTCCTCCTCCCCTCTCCCTCCTCCTCCCCTCCTCCCCCCCTCCCCTCCCCTCCCCTCCCCTCCTCCCCCTCCTCCCCTCCTCCTCCCTCCTCCCTCCTCCTCTCCCTCCTCTCCCCTCCCCCTCCTCCCCTCCTCCCTCCCCCTCCTCCCCTCCCCTCCTCCTCCCCCTCCCCTCCTCCCCTCCCTCTCCTCCCCTCCTCCCTCTCCTCTCCTCCCCTCCCCCCCTCCCCTCCTCCCCTCCCTCCCTCTCCTCCCCTCCCTCCTCCCCTCCTCCCCTCCCTCCTCCTCTCCTCCCCTCCCCTCCTCCCCCTCCCCCTCCCTCCCCCTCCTCCTCCCTCCTCCTCCCCTCCTCCCTCCTCTCCTCCTCTCTCCTCCTCCTCCTCCTCCTCTCCCTCCTCCTCCTCTCCCCTCCTCTCCCTCCTCTCCTCCTCTCCTCTCCCCTCCTCTCCTCCTCTCTCCTCTCCCCTCCTCCCCTCCTCTCCTCTCCTCCCCTCCTCCTCTCCTCCCTCCTCTCCTCTCCTCTCCCCTCCCCTCCTCTCCTCTCCTCTCCTCTCCTCCTCTGCCCTCTCCTCCTCTGCTCATTGCCCATCTCCTCTCTTCTCTTCCTTTCCTGGGTTAAGTATTTACGAAATGGAAAGTAGGAAATGCTCTCATACAGTTGGCTCTGACTTCCCTCCCCTTTTACAGAACTAGCAGAAAATCTGGCTGTGGATTTTTATGGAAGAGGCAGGAAACTCAGTAGTTCAAACTGTTACAGGAAGGGGCTGCCAGGGAAGCCCCAGGGGAGTGTAGTTAGGACTCTAACTCCCTCCTCCTTTGCTGCCTGTGATGGCTCTGTAGCCACACCCAGTGCCCCACACCCAGTGCCCCACACCCAGTGCCCCACACCCAGTGCCCCACACCCAGTCCACAGCATCTTTCCATTTGTGTTCCATGGCTACAGGACAGTTGTACACAGGCCTTACATCACTATTTTTGGGCTTAAAAACCCAGGAGGATGTGGTGGCGAACAACTCTGATCCTAGCACTCTGGAGACAGTGGGTTTCTGTGAGTTCAAGACCAGCCTGGTCTACAGAGCAAGTTCTAAGTATCTGGGACTACATAGTGAGACCCTGTCTCAGAAAGAAAAAAGAATCTAGCCAGGCAATCTGTCACATCTGCAGTGAAGAAGGTTGGGACACTCATGGGCATGTATGGGCATGGTACCCCTGACTCACACAGCCACTAGGAGGCAAATAGAGATTAAGACTCTTCACTCATCATTCTTATCCTAAGCAAAACTGTGACTGGAGGTGTAGACAGGATTTTTTTTTTTTTTTTTTTTTTTTTTTTTTTTTTGGTGACAAAAGTGTTTTAAATTGATACATAGTGGTTATACATACTTACAAATTTAGTGTGAGGTTTCCAAGCCTTTACAAAGTGGGGCCATTGGATTGTGGTAACTTTGTAGACAGGATTTTTTGCTAATATTTATTTCATGCAGTCACAGGCTTCATGTCATCAGTGATTGATTCTGTATGACTCTCTTGGGAAATACTTGCCAAGTCTGTCGTCCCTGCGGTGAGAACCTGGTGTAATTCATGAAAGTCCAAACAGGCGCCTAGCTTCTGCCTTGCTCTTGCAGGTCAACTTCCAACTCAGTCGAAGCATGTCTCAGGTGTACCCTGCAGAGAAAGCTCCCAGCCGAGGACAGGGAGGCAGGCCAAAGCATTCCCGGATAACCAGAAAGAAAGACACAGCAACAAAGCGCCATCGAGGTCCTGCCTGAGGCCCAGCCCCCACGGCCTCACACCGCGAGGACCGAGGACGGGTCCCTGCTCTCCTATCCCATGGCCACACTTCTCTTGTATTATCTGGGACATATTCAGACATAGGCACAGCCATAAGAGGTCCAAGTGTTTCTGCCTTCCCTAGGCCAGCATTAAAGGAGTCAGAACCTTCTGGAAACTGGTGCCCCACTGTACATGCCTCTGTAGATCAACATTAAAGGGGTCAGAACCTTCTGGAAACTGGTGCCCACTGTACATGCCTCTGTAGATCAACATTAAAGGGGTCAGAACCTTCCGGAAACCAGTGCCCCACACTGTACATGCCTCTGTAGGTTAGCATTAAAGGGGTTAGAACCTTCTGGAAACCAGTGCCCCACACTGTACATGCCTTCAGAAGGGTTTTTTCCTGAAAGTCTGGTTTGGGTCCCATGCCAGTGTGCACTGCATGCTGAGACAGGTCCCAGCTGGTTGCCGGGCTGTCTCCAGGGTCCAGCATGGAGCCGGTGACAACTTGGAGCTGCATGAAGTTGTCAAAATGACTGCGGCGCTGAGGGGACCCAGAATTGCCTGTGACCATTTCCACCACAGTCAGTGGTTTCCCAGTCAGGGACGGGTGTGGCCGCGGGGTTCAGTTCCCTGACCCTCACCCGTGAACACTGCCAACAATTTACAACGTTTGTAATGTTGTCTGGGTATGTAGGAGACATGAGGGCATTCCTTCAGGGCAACGCTCTGGGCTTTGCTGAGGTCCAGCTGAACCCACTGATCCTGAAGGCGTTATTAAGCACACTAGATGTTTCTGGAGACATGGTGTGGTCTTCCATCTCATGCCTACTAGCATACAGATATTTATTCTCAAAAACAAATCAAGGTCGTGTGTTGGGGCAGGCCAGGTTCCAGGAAACAGACTATAAACAGCAACTCAGCTCTTAGAGTAAAATGGAAACTTATTTTTAACAAAATGGAGTTAGCAGGTTCCTCGGGAGCTGGGCAGGTTCTCACTGGGATCCTGCCCCTGGATGCGCTGCCCAGCGCTTGATCGCCCTGGCTCTGATTGGACAAACCAAAGAGACATGGTTTCAACCTTTTAGGAGTTGAACAAATTTGGAGCAGGAGAGGAAGACTAAAACAGTTTACTACATAAAAAGAATTTGTATCTGAAAGGAGAAGCCCAGAGATGAAAAGCCAGGGGAGTGTAGCGGCCGACGGTCAAGGAAGACTTACCTGAGCAGGCGACACTGGCTCATCTGGAAAAGAGAACAGGGGTGGATTACCAAGAACAGAGCAGTAATCATCCCAGGCTGAAGGAATCATGAGCCCAGCGACCCTGTAGCAGGGATCAGTCTGTCTGCAGCTGCATCTCCTGGACCGAAAGCACATGTATGTACACATGTGTGTATCTGGTGTGTGAGGAGTATGTGCTCTCAAGTCCCCACCCACCCACTGTATCAACACACTAGAGGTCTAACTCAGCATGGGACAGCGTAGCATCCAAACCAGAGTCTGGTCAGGACTGAGCTGGTAAAACTCCCTTTTCCACGGCAACAGAGACACCAGTGAGCCCAACCATGGCCAAAACATTCTACAGATGGGACAGCTTGGCTTTGGGGAAATCTGGCATCAGACCAGGAGAAGCCAAAATCCCTGTGTGGAAAGGGTCATCTTCCACACGCAGTACCATGACCTGTCATCCTATTATGCTCCTGGCTCTCATGCAGGGCCCCTCTCCCTCCTGGAGTCCGACTTCAGGGTCGCTAAAACACTGGTCTCATTCAGACTCTTAAACCCGGAGGAACGTTGCTGGACAGACGCCTAAGCAAACATGTGTCCTCTCCCTCCTCCTAAAAGTTAAACTCCACCATTTAGAAAGGGTTCCCCTCACCTGTCACTGTCCTGAATCAAACAGCCCTCACCTCATTCCTTCTCTCCCTGGGTCTTCCCTGGCTTCCCCTTCCCTCACACCCGGCTAAGTCCTCCTGGCTGAGACACCTGCAGCCCAGGCTCAGGGAAACAGAGGGTAGCTTCGGGTGGGCCATTACTTGTTTCTGCTCACACCCTGCTGGCCCTTCTACACACAGTCCTGGGAACAGACAAATAAAACCCTTTCTTGGCTCCATGTTCCCCTCATGGGGAGGGAAAATGCCTTTTTGGTTTCCTATCGATTGTCCCAGCCAGACCTTGCTTGGGCCTGGAGACACCGTGGAATCAAAGGACTTCATGAACCTCCTTAAATCCTCTTTGAAATCAGATCAAGCGAAAATAAGCTAAGAAATTAGAGGACCACAATTCTACTCCTTTCCCCAAATTCGTAAATGTTTATACACACTGTGGTTTATAGCTAACCAATAAAATTACTTCATTATTTCACAGACCATTAAAAAAGTTTAATGACAAGTTAAAGGATCCACTAACTATTTTGGAGTAACTTATTAATTTTCTAGTAAGGCCAATTAGAAGAAATATACCTGGCATTCTCCACTTTCGTGAACTCATAACTGCTTTCATGTCCCAAGTTAGGAACTCTATAACTCTAAACATTAAAAGTCGTGAGCCAGGATTGGAAAGACATCTCAGCAATTAAGAGAGTTTGCTGCACTTCTAGAAAACCTGGTTCAATTCCCAGCACTCACATTGGAGAACTCACACCCACCTGTAGCTCCAGTTCCAGGAGATCCTCAGCCTCTCCCTCTCTCTCTCTCTTTTGGCTGGACATGGTGACATATGCCTTTAACTAAGAGGCAGCTGGATCTCTGTGAGTTTGAAGTCAGACTGGTCTACGTACGAGTTTCAGCCAGTTAGAGCTACATAGTGAGAGCCTGTCTCAAATGGAAAATAAATAGAGAAATAAACAAAATACAATCTTTTGTTTTGATTCTTCAGCTGAGAGTGAAAGATGGTTTATTGTACACCAGTTACACTCGGCCACAAGTGGAAACAGAATCAGCCCAGGATGCCACAGGTTTGGGGCAGAGGGCCAGCGGGACTGTTTGGTTGTGATGAAGGCACTCAAGTCTCTCAGGTGGTCTCTGTGAGCAGATGGTGAGGTTCCAGGTCCATTGAGACTTACACCCACCGACAGTAGCACATGGTTCAACAATTTGTACCAGCGTCCTGGCCTTCAGCATCCCTCACTGCTGCTCCATAGCCTTCGTGGGTGGACGAACTGGTTTACTTGGACCTCTGCTCATCTTTCTCTCTTGAGCATCTACCTGTGCATTCATTTCTTCCTCCACTCCACTCTCTTGGCACAGGTATCTCAAGGATGGTGGCACTAAGGCCGAAAGCACAAAATATAATCTTTAAAAGTATAGCACATCTTTTTTTTCTCTCATCATGTTACGGTAGTGTTTCATTTCTGTTTAGCATTAGTGTCTCCATTAACTAAAAGTGTATGCATGCCAACTCACACACCATTGGACCGGGCGCCCCAGTCTGCGGTCTAAAATCTGCTTCTCCCTTTCAGCATCGTTGTCTTTGGTGAAAACTTCTTCCTCAGGTTCTCCCATGGGGTGGCGCAGGGCGGGGGGGGGGGGCAGGTTGTGAGGAGGTGACTAACAGTTTTACAAGCTTGTGTCCCCCCCCAGCCTAGAAACAGACTAGATCTGATTCTTGGGTCACACACATACTTACCAGGGTATGATTTCCAATAGCAAATTGGGAAACCATCATAGTGACTCCCACTGGTTGGTTTCTGGCTATCTGCCACTCCTAGAAGATGGAGGCTGTGTGTGTGTGTGTGTGTGTGTGTGTGTGTGTGTGTGTTAGCATAGAACATTGGTTATCATTTAATGACAATAACACAAGTTCTTTTATTCCAATCTTTTTGTTTGTTTTTGTTTTATCAAGACAGGGTTTCTCTTATCCCTAGTTGTCCTGGGACTCACTCTGTAGACCAGGCTGGCCTCAGACTCACAGAGATCTGCCTTCCTGTGCCTCCCAAGTGCTGGGATTAAAGGTGTGTGCCACCACCACCACCAGGCTTGCAATCTTACTTATTAAAGTTAACTTCAGATCACACATTATTACTTCATTCAGTAAATATGTCTATTCTCATCTGCGTATGTGTGGGTTGCAGAATGCACATAAAGGGTTAAGAGGCCACTGCAAGAGACAGCACTCTCCCTCCACCACACGGGCTCTGTTCCCCTACCCGGGCCTCTTCTTTACCCTTTCACCTCTGCAGCTGGACTCATCATTGCAGCTGTGTTCTGACCTGCGGCCATTGCTGCCTCCTGGCTTCTTCACAGCAATTCCCATCAACAGACCCTAGTTACATGTCTCTCAGCCTTCTGGCTGGACAGGAGGACTTCAGAAACCCTGTACAAGTCCCCCAAACAGATGTGACTGTGTCAAGACCAGCCTAGACTCCCTCACCCTCTCAGGGAGCACGGCCTTCACTTCCCATTTGCATCCCCCAGGGGTTCATCTCCCACTGACTGTGTCCTGCCCTCACCCCCAGCAAGAATAGTTCACAGAAATCTCCCCACAAAGCCTCTTCCTTTGTGGTATGTGAAGTTGCAAGCCTGTGTCATCTGTATTATACCCCTAAGTTCTGGCTCATCTTTTCCTTAGGAATTGCAGTAGGAATGCTCCTTGCCCACAGCTGGGCCCCGGCTGCTCCAGGACTAATACCTGCTGGTACCCTGTGAGAGGCAGCCTCAGCAGCCTGTTCCTCTAATCAGCTTATGGCTACGACTATGGCTATGGCGCATTCAAGAAAAGGCTCCCTTGTGGGGCCAGCAATTGACCAGTTGCTCCTTTACAATGTTCCCGTAAGGACAGTGAGTATTCAGACCCGGAGTATCCTGACAGGTAGCGGTCACCACAGCTGACAAGAATTCAGGCAGGGCTTTGGTTTATTGAAAATTACTGGCAGTGGAAGGAAGCATATATTTATAAGATTTTTTTTAAAGGTTTACTTATTTTTATTTTATGTGTATGGGTGTTTTGCCTGTATATGTGTCTGTGTTTCATGTACACGCCTGGCTTGAGCAGGGGCCTGAAGGACATATCTGATCCTCTGGGACTGGAGTTATAGATGATTGTGAGCTGCCATGTGGGTGCTGGGAATCAAACCCGGGTCCTCTGGAAGCGCAACCAGTGCTCTTACCAGCTGTGCTATCTTCCAGTCCCTGTTTTAATGTTACATTCTAAACTTATGTCTTACAAGGTAGCCTGACCAAACCTTATCTACCGATCACCTTTCAGAGGGTCCCGAGTAGCCTAGGCTGGCTTTGAACCCAT